CCGCGGCGAGCGCGCGGCCGGGAGCGAGGAGGGCGCCCTGGGTGCAAGGGCCAGGCCCGCGGGGAGGACGCGTGCCCTTCGGGACGTCGCGGCCGGGGGTCCCACGCACGGGTGGGCGCCGGGAGCCAGGGCCACTGACCCGGCGCTTGGGGGCCCTTGGGATCCGGGCAGCGGGAGAAAGAGCCGGAGCCCGGCCGGGATGACGAGGTGACGCCTCCGGGGGGCGCCACTCGCTTCGTGGGAAGATGCTCGCCTATTGCGTGCAGGAGGCCACCGTGGTGGACGTGGAGAAGCGGAGGAACCCCTCCAAGCACTATGTGAGTACCGTCCATCGCGCGGGGGCCGGCCGCGGACCCCCCCTGCCGCTGTTAGAGCCCGGAGCTGCAGGTCCGCGCGGAGCCCTGGCTGTGGTCTCTGCAGGGCTGTGGGGTGTGTGTCCCGCCTCCACTTTTTCCCTGCCCTGTTCTTTTTTTGGCATTGGGACCGGCAAGTGGTGCCCTTGTCTGTTACAACGGTGAAGTCATCTGTCCGCCCGGGCTTCGGTGGGGGCCGGGTTTTGTCTGTTCCTCCTGGCTGATTGATTGGTGGGGAAGGAGCGTCTCCCTGGGCACAGGGGCTCGCTGTGCCCGCGGGGTGTCCCCAGGGTTCGCCTGGGCGGACTTCGCTCTCTGATTCCGGTTTGCTGTCTTTGCCTGCTTAGGCCGGGCCCAAGGAGCGCCGCGCCCCCTACCCCCGCCACTCAAAGCACTGAGCTTTGATTTCCTCCTTAAAGCTATTGTGTCCCGCGGTGTGAGGAGAATGGTGGCTTTTCCTTTTATCCCTCCTCTGGACGTGACCCGTAGCCGGGGTCATTTCCTCTTAAGTGATGCTCCGCTTCCAGACACGAGGAGGCAAATGTTGGCTGTGGTCTCTGCCCACCGCCCCTCCCCCTGCCTCCCCCAAACTTCTTGAGAGGCAGTGGAGGTTGACCCGCGGCTGGCTCCAAGGTCTGTGTGACAGCCTTGCTTTCATCTCAGCCTTCCCATCCTTCACACTTAGGGAGTAAACTCGATGACCTGGTTGTCCACTGTCTGCTGTCTGAGCAGCTGAGACAGAAGAGACCCCCAGCACGTATCCAAAGCACAAGGGACAATGGACAGCAGGCCTGCATCTCACTTGCAAATCAGGCATTTAAAGCAACATTTAGAATGCTCAAAGGATTAATTTTAACAATTAAAACAGGCTGTTGGTTGCTGCCCTGGACTGCAGGCGTTGGTCTCTGAAGTGCCTTTTATTTTCCTGTTGGAGGGCACTGGGGTTTGTGGTAATGTCAGCCTCAGGCTCCTCTTTCAGAGTCTCTAGCAGAGAGGTGTTCTTTACAGTTGAGCAGTGGGGCAGGGCTCAGATTGGGAGGAGGGAAAAGTGACCAGGTAGGGGATGAATCTATTCCTGTCATCTGGCTTGCCAAGGTTCTCCCACTGCCGTCTCAGAGCACTCCTTTTAGAGGGCTTGGGGCAATGGGGCACCCCAGCCAGCCTTCCTGGCCTCTTTTCTCCAGTGCTGCAACTGCGTGTCAAGGGTCCTCTCGTCTTGACCTCAGTCGAGGTTGGCACTACTTTCAACAGATGGCACTCTCTGCTTTGAGACCCAGCCAGGCACTTTTCCAGTTCTGGATTATGGGCCAAATTGCTAATTTGGCCTTTGACCATGGTTGCCCAAGATTACAAATGAAGACACAAACCAGGAGGAGATCAGGGGCCTGTGGTGGGCAGCATGGGGGAGGCAGCTACATGCTGGGCGCTCTGAAATTCTGGGACTTGTTTAAATCGGGTTGGCCGCTAACTAGTTGAGCAAGTTCTTTAAACCTCCATGGACCTCAGTTTCCTAGTTTTAAGAATGAGGGTTTTGTAATATGTCCTTCGCAGGATTGTGGGGAGCTTTCAATAAGATCATCCACAAACGTGGTTGGCCCAGATCCTCGTACCTAGCAAGTACTCATTAAATGGTAGCTCACGCTGGTGAGACTCTAAGAAAGCATTTTTGAAAAGCAGCTATTAATGGCCTGGCAAATAGAAAGAAAGACACTGAGTTTTAAGATTGATAATAATGTGCACCATGTGGGAAATCCAAAAGGAGTCCTGCCTCGTGCCCTGGAAATGATCATTTCCTCCCTCTTTACAGACCAGAGTGTTTCCTGGGACGGCTCCGCTTCCCATCTGAGAATCGATGACATGTTTGGGGCAGGGAGTGATGTCACTGAGCAGATGGCACCACACAGAATCCTCACGGAGGTCCTGGAAAACAATAAGAGAAGAAAGCATTGTGTGTCATGGAATTGTGGGGTTGGCAGGGACTGGTCTGGCTGACTCCTTTCATTTCTAGACCAGGAAACTCAGAACCAGATGGGCACCTCGCAACACTGCTAGTCACAGCGCTGGCTTGAACTGGCCTTTGCATGTCATGTGGTTTTCTTATCAAAGGTACCTAGGGCCAGTTGAGGTTGGCTGGGAAGACACATAGCTGCTGATGGGGCGACTATGACACTTTGGGGGCATTCATGTCAACACGGGCATGTCCAGTAAGGGTCCAGGGGACTCTGAGGCTTAGGGTCCTCTCCCTTGGCCCTTGTGCAGTGGACGGTGCAGTGCTGAAGGTCGCATGTTCTGAGGAAGGCTCTGTGGTGTGGTTAGCTGGTAGGACATGCTGCACCCAACTTGTGTATGTTTGGTGCCCTCTACCCTGGAGAAGCCGGCCTCCCTCCAGACTCCCTCTCCTCCATGGCCACTGAAGGCTGAGTCTGTGGTTTGGTAAATTGCAGAGCAGAGATGTTTTATGGGATGTACATGTTAGCCAGAACTCACTGATGAGAGAGGCCTGGGGCCCAAGAGCTGCAGAGAGCTGGGAACAGATGCAAAGGTTCTCTCAGGACACCCTGCCAAAGGCTTGCTCTTCCCCATGGGAAGCTGGAGCTGCCAAGATGCCTGGGGTCCTGTGCGCAGGGTCTGTGTGAAAGGCACACAAGTAGCCTCCATTGTTGGTATGGTGTTGCCAGCCATTGGCATCCTTCCCATCTGCCAGCCCCTGCTTAGGGTGGTTCTGGGAAGGGCAAGTGGCTGCTTGGGTCAGAACCCGCGACACAGAGCTGGTCTCCTCTCCTGGCTGTCATGAGCTATCCCTAGGGACCTCAGGTTAGCTGGCTATGATTCAGACCAGTTGTCTTGAAGGTGGTCCTGCTAATCCTGGCAGCAAGCAGCAGATTCTTCAGTCTGGAAGTCTTCTGCTATGGATGGAAGTTCAGGTCCCAGAATTCTCTGCCCTTGTGGTATAGGTATACATCGAGCCATATGGTGGTGGAGAGAAGCTATTTATCTAAAGCAAACAAGATGTTAGTCTGTTTGTTAGCAGGTGTCATGCTTTTATAGTCTTTTCCTTTCCTGAATGCCCCCCCTGAAAGTTCTGATCCTCCACAGGACTCTTTAGGAAAATCAAATAAAAGCCGTGGTGTCTAACACTTAGCACATGCCTTCTCGGGGCATCCCTGTTGTTCATCAGACCCTAGTGTGGGGGAGGTTCTTTGGGCTCTTTTTACACATAGGTTAACTGAGGCTTCGAAAGGCATGAGATTTCTTGGCACCAGTTAGCACCCTGCAGATCTGAGTAAATACAGGTCAGTTTACCTGCTAAGGGGAAGAGACCCCCTAAAACAAGACCCTTCTCCCTAGCTGGCATCAGGGTGGGAGGCCAGGCTCAGGCCTGCGTGACAGTGAGAGAGCGAAACGTGTGGTACGTGCAAGCTGCCTGCCCTGTGCTGCCAGGTGAGTGTGACAGGCAGGGGTCGGGGTGGTCTTTGGGGAGCAGGAGGAGCAGCGTAGGTCCAGGTCCAGGATCTGTCTGTCCCTGTGACGCGTAGTGATAAATGATGGGTGGGCCCTGTGGACAATGCCTTCTTCCTGTGTTAGGAACATCACAGATTTTTTTTGTGTGTGTGTGTTGAACCAGGGATTGAACTCAGACCCTTGTGCTTGCCAGGGAAGCGCTTATTCTACTGAGCCATCTCCCCGGCTCCCACATCACAGATCTTGGTCTTGGCCCTGGAAGCTACATTTTTAGGAATTGGCCCCAAATTTATTCATTTTGCTGCTCTTTCTTTTTATTTTCTAGGCCCTTAGGCTGTCACAGGACTGAGGGCGTGCAGCTGCAGGGGGGCAGGCTTTTCTGTACGGAAGGAGTGATATTGGGCAGATCGGGATCCCAGGCCTGCCTCTGGCACTCGCCAGCTGTGCATCAGTGGCCCATCACGCTGGGGCTGGGCCTCCCTACCTGTGACCTCACAGGGCCTTCAGGAGGTCGGGCTAAGGTCATTTGGGCAAGGCCTCTAGCGCATACCTGGCCCCATCACGGGCACTTACAGTGCACTGCTTTCCTTTGGCTTGCCCCTCCACAAAACCCTGGCACCCGAGGGCCCCCGAGGGCACAGCTGCTGTTCCCAGCCCACGGAGAAACCCGCCCGGCCACTTGCCCTGTGGAAAGCACCCAGCACACCCAGGAGGAGCAGATAAACAGCAGCAGCTGTTCAGGCCCCCAGGGCCAGCTCTGGAACCCAGTGATGGCTTCCTGGAGGAGAGAAGGGAGTGTTCCAGGTGAGGGCGGGCCCACGGCAGCTGGTTACACCCTTGCCGCCCCTCCCTCCTCACACACAGGCCCTTGAACGGGAACTGTTCCTGCCTTGGGGAGGGAAGTGATGGAGGGGTGATTCACAGCCTGACGGGCTCCTCGCTCATGGAAGGACAACCACATCCTTCTAGGCAGTTGGAACCCGGAGCGCAGCCAGCCACTGAGCCGGCCTTGGTCAGAGCTGTGTGAGGGTTTTGGGGGGCACATGAGGGCTGGAATCACTGTGTGTGGTGGCAGGCAGAGGGGAAGGAAAGGAAAAATAAACCTACTTGATGTCAGAGACTCGAGTATGGGTCTAGCTCCAAAAATACAAGCACCAGCTGCTCCCTTTCTGAAGACGTACTCGGGCCAGCTGAGCTACCAGGAGGAGGGCCGAGCTCGGGGTGCTTCCGACCGGGCTGGTGAGCAGTTCCCTCGGGATGGCCTTCTAATTTCCTCTGCCTGAGTCACTGTTGGTTAGGGAAAGGCTAACAGACAACTCCATTTCCTCTTAAATCCAAATTAAATAAAATCAAAGCAATGATAGAGTTCTCCATATGGTAGCCACAGTTATTCCTGTGGAGTTCCAAGAATCCAGGATTGGGACAGGAAGGACGAGGGCTGTGTGGGGGAGATGAGGTGGAGAGTCTGGCTCTGCAAGGGGGTTCTGAACAAGGGCCAGAGG